TATAGTAATGCAGTGCAAATCAGTTAAATGGTCTAGTCTTACAGTAAATTGGGTTTGTATTGTTGTAAAATAGGGTATGTTTATTATCTATATTGTCCAGTGTTTTAAGATCAAAACATCACCTTAGCTCAAGTTTGTAAAAGTGTTATATAATGACAGAATACTCAAATTTGGTATGAAATTGGTATGTGAAGAAGCAGAAACAATTTTAAAATCCAAAATTTAAAAAATCCCCTAGTCTCTATAAAATTGAAGGAAATCAGAGGTGGCAGTGACATAGCTATGAGAGGGCAACCATGGCAGCTGCCCTGGGTGCTGACTTGGTGTGGTGAGGACAGAAAAAAAAAGGCTGTTGCTGCAGCCACAGGATCGCAATCACAATCGTGCAGTGCAGCAGCAACCAGAAGCCGCCTTGTGTGCGGGAGCTGCCCTGGGTGTCCAGCAGCATCATTGCACCTCTGAGGCATGGCCATTCATTTTGTTAGAGCCGCAATTGTTTGTTGTATAGTAGACTTTATTTCCAGATCTATGCTAATATCAAATGGTGCTGCTTCAAATAAAAGAAAATATATCAATGTGCGTGTTCATTTCTGCAGCACTCGCAATACTAACACTGGCCACCTGAGAGGACAACTGTAGAAAGAGATTTGTCAGCTTCTAAGAGAGGGTTAAAAATTGAGAGGGTCTGAAGGGCTTAAACCAAAAATATTGTATTCCGTAGCAGAATCTCTTTTTTAATTTGGGGGCATACAGACCAAAATAATCTAACTATATCCATAGTCTCCCTGAAAATGTAGCAACCTTTCTAGCAATAGGACAAAGCGGGTTACTGGGTTTTGGTTTGTGTGATACCTGTTTCTAGTCTGTAGCTATTACTCGGGATATGTTAAATTTGTACAAGATGTTAAATAACAGAGGCTTCCAGCCTGGCGTATTAGGAAAACAAGTTCTTCGCCTTAAATTTGGATCTTTGCAGATACAGCACACACATGTTTTTAGTAGAGTCTAATCCATTCCTGTGATAGATGTAAGGAGCAACAGTAACTAGTCCAAAAGAGGGTAGGTAGATTTTGTGTTCTTTTAAGGGAAGGTGGAATTAAAATGGATGGGTCAGGGAATCTCAGCTGCAACATTGCTATACTAATCGCTCGTAAAGAATTTTAGTTACAACATAGTGTATAGAAGTCACTATCAAATTTAGATCTAAGTCAGCACTTGTCTTGCAGTTATTTTCTGATGAGAAATATCCTAATGATTATTAACATTTTAGGAGATGTGGGCCTCTTTTTGCTTTACTTTTGAAAGTTACTGATAATCCCTGAGCAACTAACAATAAATGTAATTTTTGTGTTTTTTCTGACTTGTTAACTGATAAGTTCCACATCTCGCTTGCCTTCCCTTGAAGCCTATGTACAAAGGCATTTTGGCAAGTTGCACTGTTTTAAGTTGGAAACTCAATTTTAATTACAACCGCATCACATTCGTGTAGCGTGATGGCAAAGGTCCTTTCAGTAAAGTTGATACATTCCTACCTTTAGGGTAAGGAGTCTGTTTACTAGAATAAGTTGAGTTTTTCAGGAGTCCCCTCTGGTCAAAAATCAAATGATTCCACTGCATTTAAAATGCTCAAACCCACACTGGTGTCTGTAATGGCAGTGCATTATGAAACTACTACCCAGCTTTTGCTGTTGTATGACACGGTAGTATTTTGAGCTCTGTATACTTTGTGGTGTTCCATATGTTTGCCGTAAACGCCCCAGGTCTCTAAAGAGGTGCAATTCTTTATTTCAGTCCATCTCTGGCGGTATGAAGGAGGCTATCCAGCTCTCACTGAGGTCATGAGTAAGCTCCGACAAAATAAGGTAAGACTTCATGGAGGTTTTTAAAAGTCTGGCTAGGAATGACAAATGGTTTACTGAGAAATACTTTTTCCAGTGCCACTGGAGAGCATAGCACAGTTCTAAATTAGACAGTCCTACTAGACCATCAGATCTGACAGTAGGTGATGCCTTTCAAATTTGATTCTCCACTTTTTGGGCTATCTTTTTCCACTATAGTACTTGGTGTAATCTATTAAGCATATATGAGGTCTTACCCAACCTTCTGCTTTCTGTCTGTTAGGTCAGAAAGAATAACCTTCTCCAAGGAATGGTATCTTGTTGGTATGATATGGGACAGAGTCGCACTAAAAGCACAAGATCCAGAATTTGTACTCCTGAATTGTATATTCAGCTATACCAGACTCATTTTGTGGCCATGGCTAATTCTACATTTCTGTCTCAATTGACCTGTTTGTAAAACTGGGTGGTTATGCATTAATGTTTGTAAAACATTTTGAGATGATCAGATGAAAAACATTACAAAACGCCAGGATGGTGTTACCAGTGATTTTGAAGCTCTGCTGTTACTATGGCCTATATTGTGTAAACACACTGGGTGAAATTTTCAAAGCTGCTGGAGGAATTTGCATACCATTAAAACTAATAGGATTTGTGTGTCCAAATCCTTGGAGTAGCTTTACAAAATCTCTGCCACTGTGTTCTGTAGAAGTGTGCACTTTGTTAGGACAAAGCATTGCAAATTTTGATCACAACTTCCTTGTTTTTAAGGAATTCACAGAGTTTCGCAAAGAAAGAGGTAACATGCTGCTTTCTCGCAAGAACCAGTTGCTGTTGGAATTTAGTTTCTGGAATGAACCTGTTCCCAGGGAAGGGCCTAATATTTATGAACTTAGATCTTATCAGCTGAGAGTAAGTGTCACACATTTTTCTCTTTTTATATTGTACATGGTAAAAAATAATTTTAAATTATAAAATCTTCAAGGTGCATGGATACAACAAAACGTGGACCTCACCTTAAAAACCAGCTGAGAACCCAGTTTTGTTTCTGTCCAAAATCAGTGTTCTTAACTTCAGTGAGTGCTGTATCCTGTAAAGGCTGTATCTTACAGGATGCTGGCTGGCTTATGAAAAGAGCTGAGCAACCTCAACTCTGATGTCAAAGAAGATCACACTTACCTTCAGGCAAAAGACTGAAAAGGAGTATAATTGATGCACAATGCAGTTCTGGATAACGATAATATTTAGTCATAATTTTAAGCATTTAAAGGGAGCAGTTTATTTGATAACTGATGTTGTTTTCCATTCTGCTTGATGCTGTGAGAATAGGACTCATTAATATTGATGACTGAGTTCTCACTATTTTATTTTCCAAATATACTTGGACATCATAAAAGCGCTTCAGCCATACACAAAGCATGCAACCATTTGTGGTTGTGTCAGTATTTTGTTTAAAACATTTTTGTTCCCCTTTGCTATTAGCCTATTCTAGATCTCAATTGCACTTGTCCATAATATTTTTTTTTTTTTTTATAAACCTCAGGCAAAACAGAAACATCAAAAACTAGTGAAAATTAGAGTGTTCAGCAGGTTCGTGAATAGAAAGGACATGCTAGAGGCATACTTCTGAATAAAGTGCTGCTGGGAATCTGTAATAATGCCAGCAGACAAGAGAGGAGACTGGAGAAGCTAGCAAGGACTGTCAAGCCTGATGAATTATCTTCTCGACTCACTGTTGCACACATTCCTGCCTTGGTGCACATCACCCCACATTCCTGAAATCATAGTCTTTTGAACAGCAGAGACTTTTAGGGCCATTTCTGAACTCTTAAGAGCCCTCTCATTCCCCATGCTGATGCATGAGATGGAATCTAGTGCTTAGATAAACAGCTGGCATATCGTTGTCAGTATATGAAATATGGAAGAAGTCCTTTCATCCCCGTTCTCTTTTCTTTGTTGTTTATCTCTCCCTGTGTTCAAAAATGTTCCAGCACAATGGTTCCAACACTTAATTTTCTTTTTCTGCTTTTAGCCTGGAACGATGATTGAATGGGGCAACTACTGGTAAGTGTATATCACCCTCTTGTGTTCTGTAATCTGACTCTGTGTCTGAACCCATGTCATTGAAACTAATGGGAATTTTGTTATTGATTCAGTGAGATCAAGCTTATGCTGTTCGAAGGGTAAATATTTCTAGGCAGGATGCCATCACATGTGTTGTGCGCATTGGGACTGTTAACATTGGCTGTCTTATGCAGCTGCCATTATCTGTTGCAAAGAATGTCATGCTATTCATTTGTCCATCTCTGCCAACTCTACTTTACAAGTTGTGCTCATATTGGCTGTGGTAGCATGGTCAAATCTGATGGACTCGTGTGAAAAATGACCATATCAACCAGTTTTTCATATGATGTCTCTGTGTCCTGAAAACTTTTCCTCAACATGCCCAAAACGTATCATTACAGAATGTTCAGGTTTGTTATAACTCGAACATGTTTAAAATGGACTGCTATGAAATGTTCTGTACATCTCTGTTACACTCATCTCTCAATGACATCGCTGTGTCAACACCACAGACTTATCATGCAAGGCAGCAACGCTCGCAAACACATTGTGTTGCTCTGTGCTACAAATAATAGTAGAGTTGCATTTACTCAGTGCTACAGAGTGAGATAATTGTCACTATTGAAAGACCATGCTGATTAGTCCACCGATGACACTGTGCAAACCTGGCTATGCTGTTTGTAGTTCTGCACATGTATATGGTGTGCCACTGCTGGCACAGGAAGTTTGCAGTGCAGATGTATAATGCATTGCTTAAAAAAAAAAAAGCCAAAGTGGGCCGTGTGACAAAAGTTGCTGTACAAGCCAGTGATTCAGCCTGAGTAGTGCAGAATCCTTGCTCTGATCTGGCAAGTGACTGTCTGTTGTTGTCCTATACTTTAAAATCACCAGAACCAAACTCGGAGGCCATTAGCCAGTGCACAAACTGGCTCCTAGGTGGTCTGACAAGTGTGCAACACTTGCAAAGCTACATGTTGGCAGTCATTAAATGGCCCCAAATCTTAGCTTTTCTAGCTCTTTTAAAATAAAGGTGTTTTCAAAATCCTGTTGAACATCACATTTGTATTTTAATATATAGGTTAAAAGTATTAAAGACGGTGTCCTTCAGTGTGTTCTCCTGACTTTATCTTGTTTAAAACTGGTGTAAGTTTCTTTCATTTACGTTAACTAAATCCAAGCAGTTCTAATGAGAGAAGTTTAAATGATTTGTGAATCTTTATAATTACTTTGAAATAAAATGAGACTTTGGAATTTACACAGCATAATCCTTCTCAACGTAATTCATTTAATTTCAGTAATTTGCCAGCAAATTTGATTTTGTACTTTTATTTTGAAAATATTTGTTCAGGTACATTTCTTTGGTAACAGCAGGCACCCTTAGAAAATGTTGAAGATGATATTTCTCATGTATCTTTAAAACTCACACAGGGGCTCCACGGGAGAGAACTGGCTAAGAAACATGCATGTGTACAAGCACTTTCCATTCCAGTAACTTACAACTCCATGGGTCTGTGGGAGTGTAAAAGACCATATATTCACAAAGGGCATTTGTACACATATGCGCTGCAGTGCTGGGTGCTTTTAAAAGTGCCCGGTGGTGCGTTGTATACATTTGTATAAATGGTGAAATGTGCGTCAACACTGAGAAAATGGTGGAGACGCTTTTGAACTAAAATGCATTGAAGGTGTTTTAGCTTCCAAGTTCACCACCGCCATTTTCTTAGCTCTGACAGGCATTTCGCCATTTATACAAATGCATGCGATGCCCAGCTGGGTGCGTCAGTTTGCATGTTCCACAGACTCGATTAATCAAGTCTGCTCCAAATCACTGGATTTTGGGTGCATCAGAACAGACAAATGTATGTGTATAAATGCCAAAATAGCTTAGCTTCCTAGTCTGACTACACTTGAGGATTCAATTTTAAAAGGAACTTTGTCAGAATGTCCTGCTGTTTTACTCTGTAACAGTGGTAATCGGCATATTGGCTCCAGAGTTGGAGGTAAAGACAGTAATCGGCATGCAACCGATTAATATGTTCTAACAGGGTATACTGTAATTGTTTGTAACTGGAGGGGTTTTTTTCCTTCTTAATCACTGCTGTCTACTAAAAGTGCTGTTTTACATTTAAGATGGGCTGAATTCTACCTCCACCTTTTCTTTTGATCATCACTTGTTACCTGTATCGGTCTGCTCTTTGTAAAGGCTCTTCTTGTCCCTTGTAGGGCTCGTGCAATTCGTTTCCGGCAGGACAGTGAAGAGGCGGTTGGAGGATTTTTCTCACAAATTGGACAGTTATATATGGTTCATCATCTTTGGGGTAGGCTTTCTCTTTTCTGCTGCACACATTCCTCTCTCACTATATTGAATAGACTCTTAACACAAATGCTGAATTTAGTCCAGGAAAACAAGATGCTTGGAATAAGACAAAATCACATGCGTAACCCTTTCATACTTGCTGCAGAGCCAATCTGTACCTTCCCTCTCCCCTCCATTTTTCTAATGGATTTTAAATGTTTTTTTTCACTTGGTATGGAGGAGAGGGTTCTGTCTTTTTTTTTTTTTTTTTTTTTTTTTTT